ACATTAAGTAAGAGAGCAAAGACAAATCTCTCATAAATAAGAACAAATATAACAATTCAACAGTGGCATGACAACAGTCATAGCGGTCATGGCTGCTATTATGGGGCCCGGGGTAGGAAGGGGGCAACATTAGGCTGTTATGGGAAACTAAACTGTGAAGTTTCCAGTATAGAAGAGTTGAAGTCAGACCTCAGGGTCGTCCCATATTGTTATGGGGCCCCATGATTCCGTGTTACACCCCTGCATATTTAGGTGCTCATGTGATTGGCTCTTATTGATCTAACCACTAATATTTTACAGTGAATGCTTTAGGCTCTCTCTCTCTCTCTCTCTCTCTCTCTCTGTTTCTCTTTGTCTCTCTCTCTCTCTCTCTATCATATCTCTCTCTCACTCTCCCTATTTGTCTCTCTCTCTCTCTCTCTCTCTCTCTCACTCTCCCTATTTGTCTCTCTCTCTCTCTCCCCTGTTCTCTCTCTCTCTGTTTCTCTTTGTCTCTCTCTCTCTCTCTCTCTCTCTCTCCCCTGTTCTCTTTCTCCCCTGTTCTCTCTCTCTCTGTTTCTCTCTCTCTCTGTTTCTCTTTGTCTCTCTCTCTCTCTCTCTCTCTCTCGCTATCATATCTCTCACTCTCCCTATTTCTCTCTCTCTCTCTCTTATATATAAATCAGTTTATGTTTTCTCTTTTATCTACAGATATTAGAAGAAGTGGACCCTGATGGTATGTAGGTTCTTTTGGTAAGGTACATTTTACTAGGCTCACCCCCAGAAGAGAAGTCCACTCTAGAAGGTTGTCACCTGTCTATAACGTCGCCTGGCTATAATGTAGATTTGGCAGCTTTCTTGCTTTCTGTGGCCCTGAGCTGAAACAGGGGTTCTGATTTTGCTTGCTGCATGCTCGTTCTGGGTCAGGGACTTTGAAGGTGCTGATACTTCTCATATTGGTTCTTGCATATCACTGCTCTTTTGATTTTCATCCGGCATGCAGTATCTAAAACCTAACTTCTAGCTTCCCCCAAACAAATCACCCGCTCCCCTCTTGTGCCCCCATGTGTATTTTTTGCTTTTTGTCTTTTTCTATTCCTATCTTTCCTTCAGGCTGGTTACGATATGCTGTGGGGTCCTCTTTGCCTCTTCTTCAGGCTGGGAAGTCCTCATGAACTGATAATGTCAGAGCCCCTATGTGCATAAGTACCCTGTAGGTGAAGGATGCCATGGTGACATGCCCTCAGGGGTCGGGCCCATTACGCCCTGCAGAGTAATTAGACCTCCTGTTATTAGGGTCTAAATGATGGCAACTGTCTCGTATTTGGTCGGGCAGTCCCGCCCCTTGGACCTCTGTCCTTCCAATGCTGTGTCCTGGGTCATTTCCCAGGATCGCAGCGTCAACTCCAAAAGGCATTCTTTGCAGGGATCGAGGCCTGCCTATTTAGAGGTGGGTTCTGGGCAGCATAACCCATAAAGTGGGCAGGCAAAATGTTGACTGGGGTGAGGTTGACAGCATCCCAGAATCTGGGACCTTAAAGGAGAACTATGAGGTGAGTGCTTTTCACTCATCTAGCCAACCTGCGACAATGAGACTGTCACAGGTCGGCTTAGTAGATCGGGAGGTGAGCGAACACATACCGGCGTTCGCTCACCTCTCGATCCTGTCACAGCTCTCTGCGTGACAGGGGAGGGACTGGATTCCCCACCCCCCTCCCCGATCCTCCAGCGCTGACTGGCGGAACGGACGGGGGAGGGGGCGCATACAGCTGGCTCTGCCTCTAGATAGGCAGAGCCAGCGGTCATTCACGCAGCTGGGCGGATCCAGACATAATTGTCAAAAATCAGCTGTAGCTCGTGGATACTGAGCTTAGGGTGACGGGAAGCCCTTACCCCATAGTTCTCCTTTAATTTTGGTAAGTATGGGGTCTATTCACAGCATAGCTGCATGAGCCACAGATGAGACGCATGAACTTTTCGGTCGAAAAGTGAGCAGCCATTGCTAGGCTTTCTTATTAGAAAGCCCAGTATAGTGTCACAGAATCACCCTGTATAAACAAGTGATTTTAAAGATCAGTTTATCAACTTGTATACTTTAGAAAGATAGACTCTAGTCAACGCGAAAACACCGGCCGTGCGCCATGTCGGGTTATATACACTCGGTAATCCTTTGTTTTAAATGTGAGCTCCGAAGGCTCGGTACTGGATCTGAAATCTTTAATCACAATTACTGAACATCATTGGAGCTTTTTATTTTGGCTGAAATCACACGGTCTGCAGTGACGTATAGAGGCAGCTTTGCTGTTGTGGTTGACGAAAATCTGATGCGGCTGAAAAGTGTGAAAATAAAACACGGAAACCGATAATCAGACATCTCTGGTTGTGTCCTGAGATCTCCTTCAGAGACACAGCAAAGGGAAGTGATGATGTCAGTTCTGCAAGAGCTAACTATAAATCATGGGTCCCTAGTACAAAAGTTTGATGGGGCCCCCGGGCTAATTTTAACAACCATATTAATAGGGTCCTGGTGTTCCAACTTGAGTGTACGGAGGAGGCACCGGACACAGAGGGACACTGGAAATTGGGGAGCAAGGAGATGTCTGAAACACAAGGTGCAGATAAGTCTTGAAGGGCTCAGGGGGTCTGCTTCAGGCAGATGTGTTGTTCACCTCATTCTCCTCACTCTCTCTCCTGGTTGTCTCTCTCTCCTGGCTGCCTTCTGGCTTTCTCTCCTGGTTGTCTCTCCTCACTCTCTCTCCTGGCTGTCTCTCCTGGCTCCCTTTTGGCTTTCTCTCCTCGCTCTCTCTCCTGGCTATCTCTCCTCTCTCTCCTGGCTGTCTCTCCTCACTCTCTCTCTCCTGGCTGTTTCTCCTTGCTCTCTCTCCTGGCTATCTATCCTCTATCTCCTGGCTGTCTTTCCTCTCTCTCTCCTGGCTTTCTCTCCTTTGCTCTCTCCTGGCTGTCTCTCCTCACTCTCTCCCTTGGCTTTCTCTCCTCGCCCTCTCTCCTGGCTATCTCTCCTCTCTCTCTCCTGGCTGTCTCTCCTCTCTCTCCTGGCTATCTCTCCTTTCTCTCTCTCTCTCTCCTGGCTATCTCTCCTCACTCTGTCCTGTATATTCCCCCCCAAATTTGCTGCGTGGTGCTAGAGTGTTCACGTTTTGTTTGAAGAAAAGGTGGCAACCCTCTCTGTGACTAGCAACAATTTTGACAACAATCCTGACTTCAGTCCTCCTTTACTAGAACCGTTTAGTTTTCCTCAACTTCCTTAGCCTCCCTATTGGGGCCCCCTCCTACTCCAGGCCCCACAGCGGCCATATGGACTGCTGTGGCTATTGTTACATTACTGCATTTGTTTATATTAATTAAATACCACCGAAATAACGCCCTATCTGTCCCCAAAAAATGGTATAAAATTCATTTCAGTACAGCGTTGCATGACGGAATAAACGTCAGTCAAAGTATCGCAGCGCTGAACACTGAAAAATGGCCTGGCCAGGAAGGGGGTCTAAACACCTGGTCTTGAAGTGGTTAATGAACAATGATTTCTAAATGGTTGCTGTACTTTGCATGTTGCTCTTTACTTCACCGATCTCTCCAGATCGCATTGCAGATAAAACATTCAATATTTCTATATCACAGATCAGTCTCCTCCACTAACCAGCCCCGAGGAAGATAATTCGGAGGATGTTTTCTCTCGAATCTTAAGGATCAACAGAGGTAAAACAATAACCCAATATCACAAATGTATAAAGGTTTGGGTGCAGATCCAGCTACTGCTGTATTCTCCATGCCAATCATTTAAAAATGTAAAATATTAAAGATGTTCTGCCACCTCCCCTTCATGGAAACTCTCTGACCAAATCCTCAATTGGGTACATTCACAACCATGTATCAATGCTCAACCCCCTTGAGGTCTGAGAATTAGACAACTCAGGAGGACACCTCCTTCCTGCTCAGGACTTTTGCTTTTCATTGCGGCATGGCTTGAGTACACAAGACTGTTGTGTGAATTCTAACCTGCTGTTTTGGGAACACCTAAGACCATGATCCCTCAGACCAAGATTCCAAACTCCCATCTATGTTTCTCTGCAGACATTGCAGTTAAAATGCCTCATGACCACTTAGTTCTTAAACCAAACCTTTTGTAAGAGAAATATGGGGCTGCCATTGCTGATGGTCATGCTGTTCTTCTTCTTTCAATACTTTCCATCAGTGATCCATGACAACCATGCCACAAATCCTTAGCTGCATGCTAGCCTCAGGTCATTGACTCAACATGTTGAAGAAAGAGGTTCAACACAACTACCGGGCAATTAGCATTTTCTATATTAGAAGTCAATAGTTGGGTGCCTCCATGTTTTCTAATGACAGGTTTTCTTTCATATGTAAGTCTCTGATCACACCCTTGGTCTTCTGGAGGCTCCTACACAGGGCTGTAGTTTTCAGGAACCATTGGACGAGAGGCTGTGAGCCTGCCCAGAGAGCCATGGGACAATCTGTTAGAAATGTATACAGTGGTACCTCGGTTCACGAACTTAATTCGTTCCGCGATTCTGGTCTGGTCAAAATCTTGCTGAACTTCCTGTTCGCGAACCGAATTGTTCGGGAACAGAAGCGTTCGTGAACCGACGTACCACTGTATATGACTCAAGTGAATTGAGTGGACTTTCTGCACAGTTGCAATATCTTCTGAATAGTATCAGTCGTCCATTGAATGAGTTCTATACATTTCACCTTTCAGATTCATGGACACTGTGAAGTGCCTGCCATATTAGTGGCCAGATTATTATGACCACCTGACGTTTGTAGGCAAATTAGCTATAATTTGGCGCTGAAGTTGCTAGAGGGCCAGACCATTATAAAAAGGGAAGCAAGTTGTTTACCACGACAGTAGAAGTGATTTGTTTCTGAAGATACGGGGAAACAACACGATGTAACAGCCTTTGAACGTGGGATGATTGTTGGCGCTCGGAGCCATGGAGCGAGTATCAGCAAAACAGCAGAATTCGTTAAATGTTCAAGAGCAGCTGTTGTTAAAGTGTTTAAAGACCGGACTGTCAGACGAAAATCTGGGTCTGAACGTGGGAATTGTGGCCGTCAGCGACTAGTCAATGTTAGGGCAGAACGTGGCAAGACTGGTACAAGACAACAGAAGGGCAACAGTGCCGTGTCAGATTCCTCGCATCACCTTTCAACATCTCGTGGAGTCACGAGTCGGCCCAACGAAGTAATCTCATGGAGTCATCTCGTGGCCCAACGAAGTACTGATAATAATAATCATCATGGTCATAATAATCTGGCCACTCAGTGTATTTGATCTAGACAGAGGCCTATTTTGCCATTAGGCTAAATGTAGCCTTGTCTGCACTGCTTGCCATAATGAATCTCCTCTTCCACCATTCAGGCTCCACTGTGAAGCTGTACAACGGGGATATTGTCCTGGACTCCACCTACAGTGCCACCACGTGTACCGACTGCCTGTGGACCAAGTCAGCAGATGGGAAGGCCAGGGTGGCCTACACCCTCTCATCTGAGTACAGTGAGTGTGGGAGCCATAGCAGGTGCCTCTGATACATCTCCCAAGGCTGATCCTCCAAACCACACACAGGACCTTGGCCCAGACATGGAATATTCCTGGCAGAGGGCAGAATAGCTGAACAAACGTTTGCAACGTTTTAATAAATCTCTGGTGTCAGCCTAAACCCACCACCTGAGGATATTCTATAATAATTTAAGGTGTGGATGCTGCTGATTGAGTAGATCTAACACCTAACATTTAGTTTGCCAAATAATTGTGTATTATAAGCAATTGCATTTTTTAAACAATTTTTTAGAAAATACTGTTTTCACCTTTTTTATGCTTTTTTTTGCAACTCAGTGCCGCTGATCTCCTCCAGCCTTCAGCCACTTCCTGCGTACTGCATAATTTGCAGTGTAGTGTTGTTTTGAAGGTCGCAGCCCCCCCCTGTGCACTTGGTACCTTCCTGAGCACAGGAAGGTTTTTTGGGGGGTTTTTTTTTCCATTGACGGAACTCTCTTTAACCCAGCAGCAGTGGAGCACAGCTGCTGGAGGTAAAGGTAGGGAGGGGGCTTAGTAGTAGGTGGTAATGACACACTGAATGACCATACCTCGGCCAAAAAAGGGTCACGAGTGGAGAAAATCTAAGAAGGCCTGTAATAGACTACAGGTTCCTTGAATCTGGAAATGTTAGATTGTAATAATGAAGAATTCAGTTCACAATTCCATACATGCCAACTGTCTTGGATTGGCCGGGTCAGTTCTGCATCTTGGCCTTCTGTTCCACAGGTTAAGGCTCACCCATGTAGGGCAACACTTTTTTTGGACAAATAAAGAAATGGTTAAAATCTCTGCCAGTTTTTTTTTTTTCATGCTTTCTATAACCATATTGAGAGATTTGTCTTTACTTCCTCTCATGAAAACAAAACAGGAAGTGGGAGGAAATGTCTTCCACTCACAAATGTCCAATTTTGGATTTCCTATAATTTTATGTCCTGGTAACTATAAACACCAAGACACACAGAGAGGGTGAATCTCCCCTACACAGACAGCAAGAAACAGAAAAGGTATTTCTTCTCATCATCTTTAGTCCTTCCTGCACTAGATGTTTTGCTTATAATATGGAATTCACTTTTGCACCCAGGCATTATGGAGAAGATTTTAATTACCGAAGCTTTGGAGACCTTCAACACAATGACCTGCATCCAGTTTGTAGAGAGGTCTACAGAAGAAGACTATCTGAATATATTCTCAGGAAATGGGTACGTTGCAATGAAAGGCTTGGCATGGAAGTCAATGCATTTATTGTCGATCTTTTGGGGTCAATCATGTTTTTGTGCCCCCAAAAAAAGGGTGAACCATGGTTTTCAAAGATTGTATTGTCTGTGCAGTAAAGTCCTTCCAAGATGACATTTATACATTTATTCTGCCCATTCACATTTGTCTCTTCCCCACTGGAGCTCAGGCTGGGCATGGTCTTATGGGGATTTTCCAACGTCTTGAAAAGTTGGTAGACTGGCCATTCCATGCCAATGAGAAGAGTGAAGGAATAGTTGAACCCTCTGCTCTAGTCTGTAATCAGGGTGGCATAAAAAATAGTAGATCAATGAGCAGATGCCTCCCTGCCTGCTCTTGGCCAGCCCAATGGTTTTGTTGATGGGCAAATCAACATTCTTATTGGTGAATTCAACTTTCTTTTATGTTTGAAATGCTTTTGAGTTTCTTCTGACCTGTTTCCGAGCTGCTGCTGAGTTCCTTCTGACCTCCATCTGACATGCTTCAGTTTGGTTCAGCATTCCCATCTTGTATTACAGAGAGAAAAACACACACAAATGCCCATGTACACAAGTACTAACAATCTGTGTAACAAAGACTACTTTAGGTCTTTGATGGATGTTATTTGAATAAGTAGCTTGCCATTTATTTTTATTTGCAAGACACCTCTGGCATATCATACTACCCACTGTGTGTGTTATTCGGAAGGCCACAAAAATTGTGTCTTTGTGTTTGTGTGTGTTTATGTCCCCCAAATTTTAGATTTGAAAAGGGTAATGTAGTGCCTGATGTTTTCATATGCTTAAAGGTCCCTGTGAGGTCCTCTGAGGTCATAACAACACTATAATATGCACAAAATATTAAAAATACTAATATGTCTAATTTGATAATAAATTGTATTGTCCATAGCAACCAATAACCATCATTAACCATCATTTCCCTTGTTAGGTGCTGGTCATCTATCGGGAAGACTGGAGGTTCCCAGGACCTCTCTCTGATGAAGGGAGGGTGTATGGTAAAGGGTGTTATACAACATGAGATCCAGCACTCTCTGGGCTTCTTCCATGAGCAGAGCCGCAGCGACCGAGACAAGTTTGTAGATGTCCTGTGGCAGAACATAAATGAAGGTACAAACACATCACAAACCATTCATGGAATTATACCACGTCCTACTCACTTTATACTCCATGTAGCTGGTTCTAGCTGGTGATAAAGAAGTGAGGTGTTATGGATGGAATTTGCACTTTCTGCTTCATCCAAGACAAAAAAGATCTCTGATCCATTCTGTCTGTCTTCCTTCCCTCTCTCTATCTTTCTCTGTGTCCACATCTCTCTCTATCATCTAGATTCCCTTCTCTTCCTCATCTCTTTCTCTCCCTTTTTCTTTGTTCTTCTCTATCTCTCTTTTCTTCTTTCTTTCTTCCCTGTTTCTCACCTTTTGTTAAATTTCTCTCTTTATCTCTTCCATACATTCCGTAACTTCTTACCTTCTATCTCTTCTTCTTTTACTCCCCCCTCTCTATTATTTTTCCTTGTCTTTATCTCTTCCCCTTTCCATCCCTTCCCCTCCTCACCCTTTTCTTTTTTTTCTCATCTTCCCCATCATTTGGTCTCCCCTTCTCTTTTCCACTCTCCCCTCTTCGCTACCACCTTCCCCTACTCATTCCTGTTTTTTCTTCTCTTCATTCCTCTTTTCCTCACCTCTACCTTCCTTTCCTCATCTCTCCTCTCCCCTTCTTTCCTTGCCTCTCCTCTCATTTCCTCTCCCCTTCTTTCCTCTCCCCTCCTTTTCTCTCCTCTCCTCCTTTCCTCTCCTCCCCCTCCTTTTCTCTCCTCTCCCCTTTCTTTCCTCTCCCCTCCTCTCCTCCCCTCCTTTCCTCGCCTCCCCTCCTCTCTTCTCTCCTTTTTCCTCATCTCCTGCCCACTTCTTTTTTCATTCATTCTTTCCCTGTCCCAACCACCTTTCCACTAACTCCATCCCTCTTTTCTCTTCTTTCCTCTCTTTCTTCTCCTGCTCACTAAGCCCCCCTCCTCACCTTTCCTCTCCCCCTTTGTCTTCTCCTCCCCACCATTGAGAAAATTTCCCCTGACTTACTGTCAGAACGGAACATAACGGGAAATATCCCCAAATTTGACACAGACAAGAACATAAATACACCATCAGTGATGTGGAGATGTATATCCTTCGTGGCTAATGAGGAATTTTCTTGAATTCATTTTTGTGCCGGGAACTTGGTTTCAAAATACTAAAAATAGAAAAAAAAAATGTTTAAATCCTGAAAATTAATCAAGAAAGAGAATATACAGAGAAACGATGTATCCCCTGCAATAGAAAAGATTGTGTTTGATGACCTGATCCGTGGAAACATGTACCTGAGCGGGTTTTGTTGTGTATTTCCATGCAGCTGACTGGGCTGAGTTTGAGTTAGCGGACACGAACAATATGGCGCTCCCCTATGACTACTCTTCAGTTATGCACTATGGGAGGTAAGACTAAAAGTCACACTTCACTGGGGCACAGCAAACATTAACAAATAATATCTCTATAGGTTGAACTTGATAGACTTTTGGTGTCTTTTTTTCAAAAACCATGTAACCATATTATTATTATTATTATGATTATTATGATTATTATTCTCTGAATAAAAAAGTACTTTTATCTTGAAAAGATGAAACCATCGGCCTCTTCCACTTGTATAGCCAGCACTGTATATAGTCGAATTTAAAAAATAAAAATTGTAAATATTTTTTCTGTCCCCATTGGAGAGCATTCCCATCACTTCCTGTTCCTATGACCTCCAGGACAGGAGAGAGAAAATGTCTTCAATGTGAACCTAGACAGACTAACAGCCCTGACAAATCTTTCCCTTTTGGGCTCATTCGCACCGGTGTGCACATCCGTACGGCGTGTTCTGGGAGGGACAGGTGCTGCATGTAAGTGTGTGCAGCCGCCTGTACCTCCCTGTGGGAGGTTGTTGCTGCCCGTGGTTACACACAGACCCGAACCTGTACATCTGTGCGGGTCCAGGTGCCTACATTTGGATTCAGACAGTGTGCGTCCAAGTGCGGGAACCAGGGTCTACACGGATGTACAGGTTCAGGTTGGCTTGTACTCACGCGTAGCCTAGGGTTGCCACCTTTTCTTCAAATGAAACCTGAACACTCTAGCGACGTGCGGACATTTTTTCTTGGGAGAATGAGTCGCGGCTTTTTTATATGTAAATAGCGTCACCCTTTTATATGTAAATATCACAGTTGAGACTATTTTTAGTGGGGGAGGCAGTAGCCCCTATCTTAATTTTGGTTGCCCTTGTCTGCCTGACATCTTGTGTTCGGGTTTCTGCTGTCATGAAACCCGGACACAGCATTCAAAACCCGAACTGTCCGGGTGAATCCTGGACAGGTGGCAACCCTAGCGTAGCCGCATCCTCTCATGGGGAGGTACAGGCGACTGCACACAGTTACAAGCAACACCCGACCCTCCCAAAATCGGGTCTATGTACGGGTGTCCATGCCATACAGAAGTGCACAGCCGTGTGAATAAGTCCTGTCTGTCCAAAGCAAAATACGTTTTGGCCGGAGTTCGGCTTCCACTCTCTCTATCAGCTAAGAGAACCTGTTGTGTTTTGTCAGGTATTCCTATTCCAATACATCGGAGCAGGCGAGCCTCATCCCCAAACCAGACCAGTCTGTGGAAATCGGGCAGAGATACGGGCTGAGCTCACTAGACATTTACAAGGTTAAGAAGCTCTATGACTGTAGTAAGTATATGAAAAGGATCCGTAATAATCCGCTGATGAAGCTAGACAGAGGGAAAATCCTTCTCTCCGATGCCCCCCCCCGGGTATCAGATAATCTCCAGATCAACAATCTACATTGTTATCACTTAGAAATATGAATATCCAGTCACAGCTCGTACATTGGGAAACACACTCAAACTTTACAGAAGTTGGCTTCCTATGGGATTCTACAGGATTCCTCCTTTTCACAGCTCTTACTGTAAAGAACCCCTTGCATATGTGCAGTTTATACCTCTTTCTTTCTAGATGCAAAGAGTTCCCTTTTTCTTCTGAATTGTTTCCTCGTCTCCATTTGTATCCTCTCTAACCTGTGTTACCATTGGGCCCCTGAAGGAGGTAGTCTGTCATGGATACTTACTCATGTCTGCAGTCTCTGGCCATCTCCAGTATCATGTCTGCTGTCTCTGGCCATCTCCTGTATCATGTCTGCAGTCTCTGACCCTCACCTGTATCATGTCTGCAGTCTCTGGCCATCTCTTGTATCATGTTTACAGTCTCTGACCATCTCCTGTTCATGTATGCAGTCTCTGACCATCTCCTGTATCATGTCTGCAGTCTCTGGCCATCTCCTGTATCATGTCTGCTGTCTCTGGCCATCTCCTGTATCATGTCTGCAGTCTCTGACCATCTCTTGAAGTGTATACAGAATGTCACTGTGCTCAGTGAATCCAATTTATTGATGTGTGTTGTTATTTGAACACATTTTGCGGCATGTGAACCTGAATTCCGTGTCACGTGTCATTGCGACCCTTGGCCTTGCCTTGTATAAGTCTCTGTTATTCCGTATGTCAGATTTGTGTTCTTGTTCCAGATGAGTGCAGTTATTTACTCACGGGGATCAATGGCTCTCTGGACTTCGCTGCCTCCATGTCAACGTATTCTGATGCCACAAACTGCCTCTGGCTTGTGAGAGTGAACAGAAACAAGGTAAAGGTTGTGTTCCAATATTAAAGCGGAACTCCAGACAAAAAACGACATTATTGGTTACAATAGATATCTGTGAGGCGCTGTACCTGCCCATAGGTGTGTAATCCTATATAGCCAGTCATGTGACACAGAAACCTCTGCCAGACAGCAGAGCCGGTGGCTGGTGACCTCACTTTTCTTTACTGCAGTTCAGCAATGCAGATTGGTCATTACACCCGCCTCAAAATGCTGACTGGACAGTAAAGAAGCATCAGCACACCGATGAGGTCATCCCTCCTATAATCTCATCAGAACACCGATGAGGTCATCACTCCTATAATCTCATCACAACACCGATGAGGTCATCACCCCTATAAGCTCATCAGAACACCGATGAGGTCATCCCTCCTATAATCTCATCACAACACCGATGAGGTCATCACTCCTATAATCTCATCACAACACCGATGAGGTCATCACCCCTATAAGCTCATCAGAACACCGATGAGGTCATCCCTCCTATAATCTCATCACAACACCGATGAGGTCATCACTCCTATAACCTCATAAGAACACCGATGAGGTCATCACTCCTATAACCTCATAAGAACACCGATGAGGTCATCACTCCTATAACCTCACAAGAACATCAATGAGGTCATCACTCCTATAAACTCATTAGAACACCGATGAGGTCATCACCCCTATAACCTCATTAGAACACTGATGAGGTCATCACTCCTATAAACTCATTAGAACACTGATGAGGTCATCACTCCTATAAACTCATTAGAACACTGATGAAGTCATCACTTCTATAAACTCATAAGAACACAGATGAGGTCATCACTCCTATAAACTCATCAGCACACTAATGAGGTCATCACTCCTATAAACTCATCAGCACACTAATGAGGTAATTACCCCTATAACCTCATAAGAACAATTAGGTCATCACTCCTATAATCACATCAGAACACCGATGAGGTCATCACTCCTATTAGCAGACTCTCAGTGTTAGAATAACAGTGCTGTGCAATGCAGCAAAGAATGATGGCTCAGAGAATGACCTTTTCCTTTTGCAGTCCTGCCATGTAAAAATGCTGCATTCTTCCAGATGACCACTAGGTGGCAGAAAAGAGCCAAAGAGAAACTTTTCTTGGTCCCCTGCAGTTGCACATGCATGTACTGTACAGTATGATATTATGAGGGTTATTCTTGTTACAAATCAAGATACAAAATAGATATGTTCACAGGTTATACACTCAAATGACTTTACAGAACCTTTATTTTACAGGCGTATCTGCAGTTTAACACATTTAATGTGTCACCCTCTGGCGAATGCACTTCTTACATCACGGTGTACGATGGTTCCAGCAAAGACTCCCCATTGTTGGTGGACAGGGCATGTACTGACCAGGAGCTCCCCCTACTGGTGGCATCTGGAAGTGCCTTGCTGGTGGAACTTGTGCGTGAAATCTCTCTCTCATCCTCTAATTTAAAGGCTTCCTATAGTTTAGGTATGAGCAGCACAACTCAATCATTTATCAACTGTAAAGTATACTGTATATATAACCTTTGTTTTACAAATAACTATTTAATTGAGATAGGATTCCTCAAGCACTGTGTGTTAGCTAAAGAGACTGTGCAGATGGCACTGCTAGCTTTGTAGCTCCTTATGTCTGATTGAAACCTCCCATTGAGCCTTCTGATAAGGGATGAATCAGTGAGGGCTCATTGAGTTTTGGGGCTTATTTTAGGCTTCACATGCAAAGGTGGAATGCTGGCAAACAAAATTAAAGCTAAACTTCAGCTTTACCTTCAGTCTTGCACAGTTGCACCGGCTCCTCCCTCGGACTGAAGCTGTGCATTAGAAGCTACAGTTACAGCCAGGTCTCATTTCCTGGCTGGAGGACATCCAGCATTATCTGGCTCTTTCCTGCCAAGCTGACTGTCCCTAACCTCGCCCCTTAAGATCTTGCAATCATGGAGGCTCAGCATTACACGTGGGTGTTACCTCGGGTAGTCTATATACAAATGCAGCCTGCCTAAGCACACTCACTCCTCCAAAATGACATCCAGCCAATCGAGGCATTTTGATATTTGCATAACTCCTCCCAAGAGCCAGCCCACTGCTTGTATCAAGGCTGAGTCCTCTTGATGCCGTCAGGAAGCTATGTACAGCACTCTGCCGGCCCCTCCCACCAGCCATGATCTGCCTGCATTGTATAGAGAAGCACAAAGACCCGGTGATGACATCACTGAGTCTAAAATAAGGTATGGAATGCAAATGGAAAGGTTTTATTTACAAATATAATTAGCATGCTGATTGCGTTGGGTGCAAGGAAAGCAAAATGAAAAAATTAAACGTCGGCATTAAAGTTTTGTTGTAAAAAGTGACAAAAACAATATAAATGACCTAAAAACTTCCTTTACCTTCTCTGCTGATCCGTCTCTGCAGTGGACTGCGGAAGGACCTACACCAGGGACAATGGCACTGTCACCTCTCCTGGATTTCCTGAGCCTTACCCAAACCTGTCCAACTGCATCACAACAATATGGGCTCCCATTGGGTATCAGGTAAGAGAAGATCGGTATGAAGTCCTGTTGGCTATCAGCAGTGGCGTCACAAGAGGGGTGCGGCCCACACCCAGGTGACACCATTGGAGGGGTGACACCAAAATGACTCACAGTCATTTTGGTGTCACCCCCCTCTGAAAAGTCGGGCGCTCGGTCATGGACCGAACGCCCGACAGTATCAGGAGAGAGGAGGGGACCCGGCGGCATACCTTATCCCGCCAGGTGACTGTCCCCTCCTCTCTCTGCCGGTGTCCATCACCAAGATGGCCGCCGGCAAGTATCAGAATACTGCCGCGCGTGCGCGATGACGTCATCGCGCACGTGTGTGGTGACGTCACGCGCATGCGCAGTGACGTCTCGGCGGGTTGACACTCGGTTACCGCTCCGGATGTCACCCAGCCTCGGGACGCCCCTGGCTATCAGTTGCCTGATTTAGATATTTTTAATGGGGGTTGATAACCCAAAGTCACCCCTCTTGGGAAACAAGTCAATCACTGTGCTGGCCAAGTTCCTCCCCTCCTCCGAGTGAATAACCGAGCCGTAGTGAAGTGAGCCAAACGCTGTTCGGCTATTCACTTCAGCCGTACATCGGCTAAAATCAGCCATAGATCGGCTGAGCCAAAGTGCAGAAGGAGTTCGACTCAGCCGATTCAACTTCTGGATCGGCTGAGCCCAAGCTCCGGGAGCTCACTCACTGACGTTCGCCCCAATTCTCATAGGGGCAGAACGTCAGTGAGTGAATAGCAGAATGCCGCCGAGGAACATTCGGCTCCGCTGTTCTGTTCGGTTCCTTCGAGGTAGTGAGCAGAATAGAAAAAAAGGTCAATGAATGAAAAAAAAATGTTGAAAAAGCATTTAAATAAAAAAAGAAAATAATAATATTTTTAAAAAAACAACGCATGCGACCCGACCACACACGACGAACTCCCGGCACTCAATATCGTATCTGACAGATGCCACCAAAATATAAACACTTGGGTGGCGCTCGCGGTGACATCACCACTAGCTCTGCCCAACTGTTTCTTATTGGCCGGCACCTGCCAGGGTCTTCTGGCAGGTCCCTGGCAATAAATAACAACTGGGCGGAGACGGCCGTGACATCACGGTCGGCTCCGCCAAGTTGTTATTGTTTAATGGCAGGTCAGCGTCCCCAGGTCATTTGGGGACGCTGATCTGTCATTACAACTGGGCGGAGCGAGCCGTGAGATTACGGTTGGCTCCGCCCCCAGCTGTCATTTGCGTGGAAATCGGTCGACTTCGGCCGACCTTTCTCCACGCTTTGCCTGTCACTACGGCTCAGCCGAGCCGAAGCATATGCGTTCGGCTCGGTTGAGCTGCTCGGCTGCTGTACGGGCTATTATGAATATCCCGTACAGCAGCCCTTTGGTTCAACTGAACCGAAGGGCTCGGGCGGCCGAAGCGAAGGATCAGCCAAAGCTACAGCTGGATCCTTTGACTCTGTAGTGAATAACCCTCTGTGACTTGTGACATGAATAAACTACATTCGGTGCTCATATCATCTTATGGGAAGGTTGTTGTTGGAATAAGTTGTCTCTTTAAAATAATATTTCCTCGTCTGTCAGATTGTCCTGAACTTCACAACGTTCGATCTGGAATTCTCTACTTCCTGTCTCTACGATTACCTCATTATCAATGATGGGGGAAGGATGGATTCTCCTCCCGTGGGCCGATATTGCTCCAACGATCCCGTCTCCACCATCACTTCCACAGGAAACGTTCTACTCCTACAATTCCGCACCGACAACTGGTTCAACATGGCCGGCTACTCAGCGGACTACCATTTCGGTGAGCAACCTGACAAAAATCTAAACAACAACAATGTTAAAGCTGAATTCCAGGCAGATCTAAAAGACACAGATCAATGCTGCTATGTATTTATTAATAAATCATTACATGGATTTTATTTTCAATGTAAACAGAGTAAGTAATAGAAGTTGCCTTGGTATCAGCCTCTTGCAGCCCCCGTACAGCAGAGCTCAGACTCAGGGAGGAAGGTGCCAATCGGCTGTGCAGTAGTGCTTATGTGCTAAAAAGCTGCATACTCATAGAAAGCAGAGTGGGAGCACCTTTGACGCTACCGGGAGGCATGGATGATGTCATGGAAAGGTTACGGAGATGAGGAGGAGTTTTATGGAAATGAGGAGGGAGGGTTTATGGAGATGAAGAGGGGTTATGAAAATGAGTTGGAGTTATGGAGATAAGGATGGGGGTTATGGAGATAAAGAAGGGTAATGGAGATGAAGAGGAGTGGTTATGGAGATGAAGAGGAGTGGTTATGAAGATGAATGGTTATGGAGATGAAGAGGTGGGGTTATGGAGATGAGGCGGAGTGGTTACTGAGATAAGGAGTTGGGGTTATGGAGATGAAGAGGAGAAATTTTGGAGACGACAAGGAGGGGTTATGAAGATGAAGAGGGGTTACTGAGATAAAGAGTTAGGGTTATGGAGATGTGGTGGAGGGGTTATGAAGATGAAGAGCGGTTATGGGGTGTAAAGATGAGGAGAGGACTGTGTTTTTTGTAATGTATCAGAAATTAAGTAGGCAGGGCTGGCACCATGTGCTTAGGAATTCAGAGCAAAAAATAGACTGTTTTGTCACGTCAGAGAGAAAGGTAGCACACTACATTTCTGGTACATCAACAGGTATTTTTTGTACATGCAGCATGCTTGTAGAGTGAAAACACAGGAAATTTGCATGTTTTGCATTAATGTACAAATTATATATTTTATTTATTTTTGCCTCGATATATGTTTTATGGTCCAGGCCGCTGAGGGGATGGCAGAGGGTGCGCCTCGGCAGCATGTAGCACAATCCAAGTTCTGTCCGCACTGCCATGGTCTTATAATTGATAAAGGCATCGGTGGTGCTCAGGGTGCCGTGCACACATCAATGATAAGTTCAAACATCTCTCCGGCACACACTCAGGGAATCAAATATCAAAATCCCAACGTATTTAATAAAGTGCAAAAATGTCACATAGCGTCATGAAGTGCTGACGTTTCTGGTCCACGCAGGGATCCTTCCTCAGAGTGACACTATGTCACTGCGTGGACCCGAAACGTCAGCACTTTATGACGCTCTGTGACATTTTTGCACTTTATTAAATACGTTGGGATTTTGATATTTGATTCCCTGAGTGTGTGCCGGTGAGATGTTTGAACTTATCTGCAGCATGTAGGGCATCTCACATATAAGTCTTGTCCTTATTTGCCCAAACCGGACTGCCCAGGAGAGAACCAGCACCTTTCCTTCCCCCCTCCTCCGTGCTCTATTGATCTCTTATTGATATGTTTTTCTCTTTCAGTGCAATCATCATAGACCCCAAGAATCATCATAGACTCAAAGAATCATCATAGACCCCAAGAATCATCATAGACCCCAAGAATCATCATAAACTCCAAGAATCATCATAGACCCCAATAATCATCATAGACCCCAATAATCATCATTGACCCCAAGAATCATCATAGACCCCAAGAATCATCATAGACTCCAAGACTAATCATAGACCACAAGAATCATCATACACCCCAAGAATCATCATAGACCCTAAGAATCATCATAGACCCCAAGAATCATCATAGATCCCAAGATTCATCATAGACCCCAAGAATCATCATAGACCCCAAGAATCATCATAGACCCCAAGAATCATCATAGACCCCAAGATTCATCATAGACCCCAAGAATCATCATAGACTCCAAGAATCATCATAGACCCCAAGAATACAGAGGACATTCTAGATCTGCTAAGATTCTCCAAGGAATACTTACAATAACTTCACTATGAAAGCCATGTTCTGTCTGCTGGTCTCACTCACCAGCCTGGTGCTCAATTCGGTCCTTTTCATTGCCATTAATATTCTACAAAGTTGCATAATACTTAAAAATATTAGATAAATATAGATTTTCATTTCAGCAATAAATGGTGGACCCACCCAACTGTCTCCTTATATGTACTATGTTCCATACACAAGCAGAAGTTCCTTTCTCTACTTCCATGACCATGTTGCATGTTGGTGCACCTCAAACCCTGGAACCTTATTTGTTTTGTGGCTTCATGTCTGAAATGCATATCAGAACTGAATTAATTGAAGCCAACTATAGATATTAGAGTGTGGCTGCACAAACACACACACACACACATCGGGTCATCAAAACAATTGGAAGCCCTGTTGTCAAGCAGTTGCATTGGAATGTGTGTGGGCACCTTTGCATAACCATTTGGAAAAAAAATTATTTCCTCCTCTTCTGGGGGCAATCTGGCGGGCAAGGGGCCACAATCCAGCCAGCTGTGTCTACCACATATTCCAAATAACTACAGACAACATGGCTTGGCTCTGCCTACCCATTGGAGGGAGCTCTCAGGAGCTTGTAGACACAAAAAAAATTACTTGTTGCCAATGGCAACCCACTTGTTGCCAATGGCAACCCTTGTTATTTTTTTTTTAAACAATTGATCATAGAAATGTCATTTGGAAGCTGATCGGTTGCTATGGGCAATAAGAATTTGTTTTTCATACATTGTCCCCCATAGAATGGACTAAAGAGATCACTATTTGACAATTGAAGACTGTAGGTTTCTGAGCAAGGACTAAGGGTGGCCATACACATATCACATGCCTAGCAAAGTATTTCTTTCCTTTTTTTCCCAAGCAGTCATCATGTTTCCAAACAGCTCCAACTCTCTCACCTTAGCTTCCCTGAACTTACTGTCCAGTACAAGATCACAAGGGACAGAGCAGTTTAGAGCAGATTTACATCTACTAGCCTGGAGAAGGAAGGAGGGAAGAAGAGTCTGGAGCAGGGGAGTGTCTTACCTTACTGCCCCTGTGTGTTTGTAGAGACTCACACAGCTTACTAGCACACGTAAGCGTGGCTCCATAGGGCCCTGCAAGGGAAAGGAGTCACCCTAAACCAGGATATCAGGACCAGTGCTCAGGGGACCAGCTGATTCTGCACTACTGTGCATTGCACTAGTCATAATTGGCACAGGTCTGATTTTTGGTCCAGTGTGGTGTGTAGACAGCCCATAGGCTGCCTTAACCCAACCCACGTTAAACGCACTGCAGCAGACCGATCTGGCGTGAATGGTTTCCTAATGCTGGCCATGCCGTATACAATCTTCTTTAGATTGACTGTGTTATCTGTGTTATCTGATACACCTAAGCAATACAGTAAATGTGCATCAAATCAGGCCGGCCCTTTGGACTATATAGTTGTTGGTAGATCTAAATGAGACGGTACAATCAGGTTGTATAATGAATGGTCACAAAATTTATGTACAAATCACTGCCAATCAAATTTTTTTTCCAGCCAGATTGGCAAAGTGCCGGCCAGGTGGTAACCTTACCAAGAAACGCACTTCAAAAGAAAAGGAAGTTCTACCTCCAAATCTTTGTAATTAGCCATTAATTAACCAACATTCTGGAGGGGGGATGGGGAGGGACGTAGCTCGTTACGAACAATTCCTCCCCCTTTTATTTACGTCTACCTTGTCAAGTGCCCTCGAGCCTAAATGAGCAGATGGTGCCATATTCATCTGACTATATACATTCCTGTAGTCTGACAGGTCAGATAAATGACTTGTACAGCACACGGCCATCTGGTGCCCCCCATAGAATTTTTTTCGTTTACCTCCAGTGGAGGCAAACTGGGTCTCCACGGCGACGAGGAGCAGCGTGTTTTACTAGGCCTCATCCGGCTCACTTGTGTTTGCTGTGCGTCGGGCTATTGTTGGGTTTTTACTGCTTGGTTACTCAGAGACTGAGGATACATGTGTGTGTATGAGGTCCGCCAAGCGCGGCCCATTGTCCCCTCAGTTTATTTAATTAACTGGCTTTTCAGCAGGCGACGGTGTTTAACCAGCACATGTGTCAGAGACAGATAAATAACCGCAGAATTTAGGTTTGGTCGCCACTGTGGGGTAGGCTCTGCTAACATGTCAGCCGGGCCAAATATTTACCCTTCGTGCTGTGAGGAGGCCTCTGGATCCGGGCCCGTTCAAACGCAAAACATCATGCGTGATTTATGATGGAGTTTGCAACACTTTTCTGGTGTCAGTGCTGTCTAAGAGCATGCTGTGCCAAATTCGGGAAAACAGTTCTAATGCTATTACTGACACGTGACAAATTCAGGTGGTTCTTAATAGCCGCACTTTTTACATTGCGTCCCCATGGCTGCGACAAATTCATAAAGAAATGTGACTGTTCCAGAGATAAGGAAACTGGCGGTAAATAGGACCAATGTCATATTGGAGTAATTTGTTTTGGGAGTGAAAAGTTTGTCCTTGTTATCTTGGTTGCTAGCTCAGCCTCACAATGTCATCGGTTGCGAGGCTGTCGGTGACTTAGCAACAGATCAGGCTCAGCAACGCAACATGATTGGTTGCTAGGGTGACAGCGGGACAGAGGAAGCTAGCACCCTAGCATCCAAGCAGGCTCAGGTGCCCAACATTGTTGGTTGCTAGGACACTGGTGGGATAGAGGCAGCTGGCATCCCAGCAACCAAACAGGCTCAGGTGCTGAATGTTATTGGTTGCTAGGATGCTGGTGGCCCAGAGGCTTCCATCATCCGAGCAACCAGTCAGGCTCAGGTGCCCAATGTCATTGCGTGACATCAGGTAGCATCCTAGCAAACAATCAGGCTCAGGTGCTGAATGTCTTTGGTTGCTAGGACGCTGGTGGCCCAAAGGCAGCTGGCATCCTAGCAACTGATCAGGCTCAGGTGTTCAAAGTCTGTGTGGGACAGAAGCAGCTGGCATCCTAGCAACCAATCAGGCTCAGGTGCCCAAAGTCATTGCTAAACAATAGCAGCTAGCATCCTAGCAAACAATCAGGTTCAGGTGCTGAATATCTTTAGTTGCTAGGATGCTGGTGGCCCAAAGGCAGCTGGCATCCTAGCAACTGATCAGGCTCAGGTGACCAAAGTCATTGTGGAACATAAGAAGCTGGAATCCTAGCAACCAATTAGACTCAGGTGCTCAATATCATTGGTTGCTAGGACACTGGTGGCCCAGAGGCAGCCGTCATCCTTGCAATCAATCAGGCTCAGGGACCCACGTCATCATTTGCTAGGATGCTGGTGACCCACAGACGGCCGGCATCCTAGCAATCAATCAGGCTCAGGCGCTCAATGTCATTGGTTACTAGGATGCTGGTGGCTCAGAGGCAGCCGGAATCCTAGCAGGCGAGGCCGCTCCACATTCTTGAGACCTGTGCACAAGATTTGCTATAAATTCATGTACATGACAATTGTTGTATGGTGGCGCAGACACACTTCTAAGGAGTGTCAGCCCCACCCTGTATGATTGCAATCCCTCATGGCACTTGTAGTTCCAAAACACCTGGAGTGCCGAGGTTTTCTATTCCTGACTTAGAGCAAGTATGCAGGTAAGGCATTCCAACTCCACTGACATCAAACATCAAAAATATGAATGCCAGTAATTTCTACAATAACTCATCGGAAGCTGTCCTCATGTCATGACAGGTTCACTTTAAAATTGTTGCAAATGAAATGTGATTAGAAATGTTACCACCAGGTGGCGACCGTCTCCAACAATGTCAATCTGTCCTGAGTCAGCTGCTGGTGGCTGTTGCATTTTGTTATATTGTCCTATTTGTCCTATTAGCTTAAGCGCTGACATTTATTCCCTTTAATTTCACTTTAGGCCCCACTCATAGCCGCACATTTCATGCGTAGTGCCTTTTAGCTGTGCTTTAAACACATTTTTCTTGACGCAACAAGCAGGACGTCTACTAACACAAGGCACCTAAGACATGCAGAAATGAACAGGGCCCAAGGGTCCATTGACATAACATTGTCCATTGACATTGACATTGACATTGCATTAACTCACATATCATTGCGTGATGATGTCCATTGTGTTACGGCAGCTCATTGAAATGATTGTGTCCCGAAAATCAGAAGTGGACCTTTTTTGGTAACGCAATGTACTACCGTGGCTGGGGCTGGATTTCCCACAAGGCCAACCAAGGCCCGGCCTCTGGGCAGCAGGGTGTAGAGGGGCAGCAGGGGGTGTGCCATTCATATCTCCCGATGCCCGGGACATGCAGTTCCGGGCGCCGGGTGGGTAGTTGTTTTCTACATTTAGCTCGGCTTTGGGCAAGCCGAGCTAAATGTACAGCGGGGAAGCCACTGCTAGTTTTATACAAGTGATCTCGGTGATGTTGCTGAGATCACTTGAATGCAGCCTGCAGGTCTGCCATTCTCCATGAGGGGGTAGGGGGCACATTGAGGACCTGGCCTTGGGGCAGCAAATCCGGCCCTGACCGTGGCATTGCGGCATGCTACAATGC